TTACGTTATTATGAGGAATATAAAATGCAGAACATTACTAGGTAGGTCTTATTAACACTGTTACACTGATTAACATAAGAAAGTAACTAGAAATCATTAAAGCTGCATTAAACATCTGATATGTATGTAGATTCACCCTGAACTGTAGAACTGCCACATATGTTGTATTTTTACACTTCATCAGTAATTAAGCAACGCTAGCCAATTAACCTGTTTGAGTATGATATTAAGACATGGTATTATGCCTAAGGACATTTTAGGGGTCCCATTTGTGCTCAACTCCATATACAAAAGGGTATGAAATGTCAAAAACAGGAGAGGCAAAACAAATATACAATATGTAGTTTGCAATAGTGATGAGTATAGGTTAAAGCTCCGGACTCATACTGTATCTATTAGATTGTGGGTTCAAATAGTGGATGGGGCACTTCTGCAGTACTGTTAAGCAAAGTACCGCACTCAAATTGCTCTAGTTTTCACAGGAAAAGGGGATGTGGGCATACACAAGAGCTACACTGGTTCACCGGATTTAATCAGACTGCAATGTCACAGCTCGGTAAAAGCAAGAGAAATGCCATTGAGAGAATGTTGCTGGCAGGAATAAAACTAACGTGAGGCTGTTAGTGCATTCAAGGTCTGATCATCCACTAGACTATACGAGTGCCTCTGAATGTCAATGCGAGCAAGACAAGACCAGCTTAGTCCTTATCAACCTGATGGATCACTTGAGGGCTTGCCTCCACACAGCGACAGCTAGAGCAACTAAGAGGGTGTCCTGGAATGATCATAAACCAGATTATCGTTGGAGATCTTAATTTTAGCACAAGTCGCAATACAATGGTTAAAAGGCTGAAAACAACAACAAAAAATAGATAAGACAAGATCACTTTATTAGCCATATACAATTTCTTGCATAAGGAATTTGTCTTTTCGCATACCCCAGCTTGCCCTCCATGAGACACACAGGCACACAGACGGGAAGAGCAAAGCTTGGGGTCAGAGCACAGGGTCAGCCATTTGTATGGCGCCCCTGGAGCAGTTGGGGTTAAGGGCCTTGCTCAGGGGCCCAACGGAGTAGGATTCCTCTGCGAGCCACAGGATTTGAACTGGCAACCTCCCAGCCACAGGTGTAGATTCTTAGCCACAGTGTCACTACTCCACCCAAAAAAGCCAGAAGTGTGTGGTTCCCTGGTCAAGGGGATTGAGAATCCCTGGTCTAAGTGAGCCACAGTTTTAGGTGGTGACAGTAGATTAAGTAAAGGCAGGCATTGATTTCCACTTTAGGAATGGTAGTAAAGTAGGTAAAAGAGTTACAGTGCCCAGGTGTTGACACGTGTGCTTCACCAATTATTACAGCTGCACCAACACGATCTTTTTGTGTTTTAACAGATAATGCTTGTTCCCAACAGCAAGGGCCACTCACAAATTCCTGCATCAATCTCTTAAACATATAACCTACATTCAACCAGACATTCAAAAGTACAGAATTATTAAAATGTGTTCATGTCATTAAATGCATCCTAGGATATCCAGACAAAGACATTCCTACAAAGATATTATTCTGATGCTTGTTAAGTGCTGTATACACTTAACATACACGTGTGTATGTTCTTCAGGGGCACATACATAGATACAAACATAATTTCATATAAAATCTTAATCTGTTCATTTTCTGACTGCATCATCCAATACAGGAGCACGGAGGGGTGGAGCCTGTCTCAGCACACAAAAAGTTCAAGGCATGGTACACCTTGAGCGGGACTCCAGTCTTTTGCAGTGCCACACACACTCCCATACACCTCACAGTACGTCTTTGGACTGTGGGAGCAAATCAAACGCAAAAAATCAGGGAGAGAACGTCCAAACTCCATACAGACAGCACTTCAGAAATTGAACCTAGTACCCCTGAGCTGAAGGGCAGCAGTGCTAAACACTGCGGCATTGTGCCATCCCATAGAAAAAACGTCATGCAAAATTACTACAGAACAAACACAGACGACAACCATCAAGCATCAAGCATCTTTCATAGTAATAAATCATTTTGTGCTGCTTGATATACTGTAGAATGTGATTTTGAATGTGAGTATTGTGACGATCCTCCTGCTGGACATGACAGCCATACTGTTTGCATGCTTTCCTCACAACATCACAACAAGGTGATAATTTGAGATCTCTCAGGTTTTCTTGGACTGCCACAGGTGTTTGAATAATCATTAAAAAAGGATTTGCTTTATGGTGTATTTTCTAGTACAAACTGCTCTTGAAGAGGCATACAGTTCGTATAGATCATAAAGAGTGCTCAAATTCATTGCTCTGAGAATGGAAACAGAAAAAAATAAGATACACCACAGATGGTTGCAATAAACCAATCTAATAAAGATTTATACATCAGCTTTTCCTGTTCTTGAACTGGTTTGTTAACATGCTACATGCGTCAGCAGGTTGCCCTGGCAGGACCTGTGATGAATGTTTAACAGCAATATTCACACATTCATCAGCAAAAGCGCTCCAGTATTCCACCGCTATGAACTACCCCAAGCCAGTTGTACACTAATTTGCGTGGGTCACGTAGTGCTCTGTGCAAAACGTGGTAAAATCTGTTTGTTTTTTTAAAAGGCGCACGATTGCAAGATTTTGAGTCAGGCTACTCCTTCAGTATTGTAAGTAGTTTTATTGTCAAAGCTGAACATGATGACAGTCTTAAAGATCTATTAAAGGTCATCAGGAAGTCATCCACCAAAAAGTAAAACCCAGAACACATGTGCAGACAAGATCAGATGAAACAAGTTAGCTCAAACTAGCAATACATATATAATTCATCAGCAAGTACTGTGTTCTGTACAGTCCCACAATAAACCCTTCAAACAGAAGTGCAGTTATAAAATTAAATAAATAAAGAAATCAAGGAAAGGTTAACAAGCTGGAGAAAACATTAGACTGCCATGAATCTAACAGCTGAAAATGAACCCGGTTACATACTGTACACAAAAAGCTTGAATTTTGCATTCCTAAAATACAAGTGATGTGGGTTTGAGCAGTGTTCAAACTACTGCTAGCACACCAAAACGTGACATGCGATGTACTGCCTTCATGTTGGTTTGATTTTAAAAAAAAGTTATGAGATATTCTGAAGTTTCACTTACTTGAGCGGTGTTGCCTGGGCATTACAGAATTGGTTTATATAATAACGATGCTAATAGATTAGTGAGTTTAAAACAGAGGGTAAGACCTGGTATTGATACGTTTAAAGCATGACAGTAAATCATAAATCAGAAGCAGAAAATAACAGCTATAAACTTTCCTTTAACTCCTCCTCTGGGAATGTACTCAAATTCCAAAGATAATGGTCTGTGAAGAAATTTATTGTAAAAGGATCCAATACTTTTTGAACAGATCTGGAAACAGAAATAATAAACAAAGGACTGACAATCATAAGTTTAATCTTCAATGCAATACAAATGCAATATCTATTCATTTATGTGTATTTAATATTGGATCCATCTTGGCTATGGAGATGTTGAAAATTGTTTTTTAACAGGTAAATACTCTGCCATGTTTCTGACATTATTTACTCATGATTAGTTCCTTGATCTAAGTAACTACCTGCTTCATGAGTGAGTGAATGAACAGCACTTGATAAAACACAAAAGCGCAAACAAAAAAAAAACGAAGAGGTCAAATTAAAAAAAATCATTTTAAGTCTTTTTCAACGCCAGACAAGCTTATCACATTTTTTTAAATGCGGCCTACTGGAAAAACAATAATTTCAATGTGTTATACATATTTATTTCCTTTCATTTAGGTGGCATTGCCAACAACTGCTCTGCCTCAAATGTTAAAGAGAGAACCCTAAGTCAGCACATGCCAGCTGATTTCTGAAAAAGGCTCAATAGGCAAAATAGCTCCCTGTTCCTCTTCTGCTCTTGGTGCTCTGGTTCTGTGGCAGACAGAAGGCAATAATCAAGAGGGTGAGGGAAGGGGGGGACTCAGCAGTTCAGCATCAACCATGAGCTCTGACAGGGGTGCATTATCTTGCCTGACTAGATTAGCATCCACGCTGCTAACATCCGCAATACTCAGACACACACTCCAACTGGCAGAAGGTCTGACATCGACCTACACAATGTGGTACGCTGTGGCACAAGCAGCCCCGTCTGCTTGCAAGAGAAAGGGTTGGCGGCTTCACACAGAATATGTCACAAAATACAGAGAAAAATAGCGGGCCTACTTGACAAGGAACCTACAATCCATTACCCTCAACAATAAGCACTTGGCAGTTCTCTCAGCAGCTACAAGAATCTAAATGCTTCAATCTAAAAGTCGGTGCTAAGAAGATTTTTTTGTTGAACTCTATAAAACCTCTACTACTAAACCTTAGCATTAATCTCTTTATCTAAGGGTTGTTGGGACTAAAAATGCACCTGACGTGTGCTGTATGCCATTAAAAGCAAAGGAGTATGCTCATAACCAAGAATTTCAGTAGAATCAATTCAGCTACCCAGCATATATCATTGGAACCCAATGTCTCCAACACCTAATGCAGGAGCAATACTGCTCTATTAAAATGTATATTGAATAAATTAATTCAGGATTATTATGTCTCATTAGGCCATGCTGAAATAATGTTTCCTTTCAACTTTCAACTTCAGTCTTCAGTCTTCAGTCTTCAGGAGGTTATGTTAACTAAAATCTACTGACAGATATTTCAAAATGCAATCTCCAACAAGATAAACCTGAGAATTCAGTAATCAGTGTATCTTTCTCCTAAAAAGCTTTAAAATAATTAATGTCGTTAATAATCTCATGCGCATCCTTCGCCATTATAGGGATACCATTTTGTTTTTCACAGCATAAACGGGACATTCATGAAATTCTAAGCCATGTTTTTTTTTCCTATACCTATAGCTCAGGTTCAACAACAACAAAATATTTTTGAAAAGAAAGGTTCGTAAAACAGCCACCCCAGCCAGTAAGTAAGGAAAAGCCCAGCCTTCACTTACCAGATTGGAGTTGGTGGCGTTGGAGTCATCCTCTGGGAAAGGGATGTAGATCGCTAAGGCCACACAGTTAGCAAAAATAGTCAGCAAAATTATTATTTCAAAGGGTCTGAAGACATGGAGTTAAGGAAATGAACCGCAAACATGGAGTACATTGATAATTAGACCTGTCACAGGCCTTCTTGGTAAAAGCAAACCATCTGTTTCCAGAAGAGCCATGACCCGCTCCTCCGCCAAGTCCTGCCCAAATATGTCCAAAAAAAGCACGGGACAGTCGCGTGGCGGCATGAAAAAAATAAAATATAATAAAGGAAACAATCTGACAGAGCCTTTCTTTCCCGAGCTCAAGGGGTCATGCACTCCTTTTTTTTTTGCTTTTTCTTTTCTAAGGGTAAACACAAGGACACAAGTGTTGCAGTAACTGTTCGACTTGTCTGCTGCGGGCTTTTCACAGGCAGAAGAAAAAGGCTGCTTTCAATCAGAACAACTAAAAGAGCTAGTATTGGACTTCTGCCAGCAGACAAAGGGAAGTTTTATTTCCCAATTTGTTCAAGGATTTTCATTGTTACATATTGGGCTAGGAAAGCAGCCAACGTTATTTAACAGGTTCTTGGAAGAAACAATTAAAATGTAAGAAAGGTGTCAATTAAGTCATTTGGCCCATCCAGTTCATTTGGATTTTAATAGCTATTTGATCTGAGGATCTCTACCAGCCTTTCACACCTGAAGAAGGCTCCACGGCCGAAACGTTGTGTTCTCTTTCTTCTTTTTTTCAGCATGGAATAAACCTATTACTTGTTCCTTTCTCAAATGAAGCCAGGGTATTGGTTTCAACAACATGAATGGTTAGCTAGTTTGTTCCAGATTCCCAGACTGGATCACAAACCTGAAGAATGGTCTGTGGTTGAAACTTTGGGCTTTTTCATCTGTTCGGTACTTATCAGCGTGGAATTAACCTCTACTTGTTCATTTGCATTTTGTAGACTGCTGCAGCTCCCTGCCTCTATAAAGGTCTGACTACTGCTCTTCATAAAAATGATCGGCCTGCTTTTTTTTTTCTTTGCTATTTTGTAGACTCGATTTCCTATACTTTACACAAGAAATATTTTTCTGGGGGGGATTTGTGGAGAGGACCAAATGAAAAAATGACACAAAAATAGAATATGTAAACAAAAATAAAACATATTTCTCAGTAACTAGGAATAAACATGGGTGTAAGTAGCATTTCTATCATTCTCTGGGATAATCATGATAATTTAATTATTTTGCTTTAATGAGAGAGAGAACTATAGTAACAATTTTGCGATATTCACCCTGTGTACATTCCAGGACTGCTGCCAAGAAGATGGGCTATGCCTCCTTTTACTCTTGGATCACAAATATTTTTCTCATGGACAAAGTTATTTGTATTATGTGTCTCCTGACCTTTAACTGACCTTTGGTATTACGGCAATATGTGACTCAAGGATAGTTACTAATCAAAGTGCAATATATATCGCTTGTGATGTATAGCTTTTCGGCAGTGATACTTTTTCTAAATGTATTGATCTGTGAAATGAGCTGAAACCTTTATTAAAGTGTCACCACAGTTTGATTTTTAGCACTAATCTTTGTGCTAACATTCTTCAAGTTTGTGCAAATTCCCTGACAATGCAAGACTTTTATTAATGTAAAGCAGTGCATGTTAAAACAATAAAATGTATGCCTTTACTTTCTTAATTGCTCATACAGCTCACCTTAAAATAAGATTTTCCTGCTAGTTACTTTGCCACCTGACTGAAAATCAAAAAACAATATATTTTGTTTTTATCACAAACCAAAATCGCATTGGCACTGCTTAATACGTAACAGGCTGCACTAAATGCCTAATGTTTGGCATTTCATAAGGGCATTTACACGTGACATTTACTTATTCTGTCAATGGAATATGAACCAGCTGAAAAGAGCATGTTATTTTCCCTCTGTGTTTTATTCAACAAAATAACAGGAAACATAATTGCCACCACTTAGCAGTGCCAGGTGTCTCTGAATAATTATGAAAAACCCAAGCTTAATTAGTCTAGATTAAGCTGCCAAGGTCAAAAGTCAAGCTCAGATTGTTAGGTTCTCTGAATTCTTAACTGTGCATATCTATTTCCATAAGTTAGAGGCCCTCTAGACTTAGCTTCTCTGATTGCCAGCAGAGGAAATGTCATTGTTTTGTGCTGAGACCCCCATGGCCTGTGAAAAGCCTGGTTGGCATGGCAACACTGTCAGGCAGATGAAATCAGATGAAGGCCTCATGTTCACTCTTTTCAAAGAGGGACACTTTTAAGGCACATATGAAAGGGCTTTTAAGAATAAAAACAATCTGTTGCAGACCACACGCACAAAAAAATAGAAATGTATTGTTTTATTTTCATTTTGGACCCCACAAGTTGCTCACTGGCATGGCAGCACAGTGGATAGCATTCCCGCACTGGGGCCCCCTTGTTGAATTCCTGGGGTGCTATCTGTGTGGAGTTTGTATGTTCTCCCTGCGTTTGTGTGGGTTTCCTCTGGGTGCTCTGGTTTCCTCCAACAGTTCAAAGACAGAGTGGTAAGTTAAATGGCTTCTGTAAAACAAACGGCCCTGATGTGAATGTCTGTCTGTTCAATGTCTTCCAGAGTGTATCCTATTTTCTGCCCATTGTTTGCTGGGACTGGCTCTGGCTTCCTTCTCACCCCGTTTTGGATAAAGTGGTTAGAAAATGGATGGATGGATGTTGCTCGCAGATGAAACTGTTATTCCTTTGCAGAACAAGGACCTCTGCTTTCATAACTTGGATTTCAGCATGAAATAGAGAATATGGCAACAATCAACTAAATCGGAATATTATGTCAAACTGATACACTTCTCAGCACCATGTCCCTAGGCCCCACTAGTTTTCTATTTAAAGTTAAAAAAATGTAAAATTATAATGCTACAAAACTGGGGCCATATGTCTGCAAATACAAATACTGACAGGGATAAAAGGTGGAATAAGGAATGTCTGTGGGTCTTACAGTATAAGGCATTTGAATGCAAAAAGCAAGGTCAAAAGGTACTTTATGCTTCTGAGATATTTTATTAAACTTTATTGCTTGACATTCTGACCTTTTTACAATAGGGTTAGAGGCTGAGAGAAATGATTATTTTCAAATCGGTTAGAAGGTCCATTTATAATCCCTAAGAGCCCTAAACTGATGTGTCTTCTGTTTGCGAAATGTCTGCTACAAGATAAGACACAGCCAACCCCTCTGTAGTAAGATCTTCACAGCATCCATCCATGCAGAGTGTGAAGATCCATGCATTACATCTGTGTTCATCTGTCAGTCACTTCATTTATCAGTTTAACAAATTTGTGGACCATGTAACAGCTAGGCATTGCTAAACAATGCCCCAGAAACAAATCCAATTCCACAATAAAAGAGAATGTACAGTAGGCCATTTTTTGCAGGTCTTCTGGAAGCAAGCAAAAGAAAAAAAAAGGCAAAAAGCAAAAAATAAAACAAACCAAAAAGCATTTCCCACTACATTTTCCACTACACTGCAAATCAGAATTCTGAAAAGGTATGCTCAATTTAGGATATGGCAAATTACAATTATTTTTCTGTTGAATGAGTCATAATCAAGTTAACCCATTTTAAATTATTATCCAAACCTGTACACAATACAGCTCCCACATTCTAGAGTGATTTAGAAAAGAATATACGGTAGATATGAAGCGCGTTTCCATTAAGAAATCGGAAGCCCTGAATGAAAGAATGATCAGTGCCAATTTTTATGTTTGGTTCTCTTAAATTCTATTTCATTGAGCTGTAGTGGTGGATGATTTATATTTCCAATTTCTTGTACAGGGTGATTAGAAAACAATGTGTTTAAAATGTAAATCCCATCTCAGGAGGAGAAAGGAGGTTGAAAATTAAGCTGATACACTTCTTCTGCATATTCTAATAGAAAGTATAAAAAATTGCATTCCTCTAGCCACAGACAGCAGTCTTTACTGATCCTATAAATGACAAGCCTGATTGTCACAAAATATCAATGAGGAGGTGAAATAGAAAATTGCTGATAATGTTTATTGATACTGACTGACAAATCTGTACCATTCATACTCATTCATACTTTCTAAAAGGAAACATGGTGTATGCAGTACAATGCTAACCAAAACAAAATTTCCCCCAGTCCTGACGAATTAAACTGTGAATCACTGATGAATTAAGTTAAACACACAGGCTGTAAGAGCAAAACCAAACCTGCATCCAAATGTTATTCAAAATTTACCCCAGCATCTCCAGTTTTGTATGGTGCTGCTTGTGCTTACTGAGAAGACAGGACAAGCTGAAGGTGAGTGTGGAGAGTTCACTGAATATAAGTCTACCATCTGCCAGAACTGTTTGCCTGCATGACAAATTGATAAAGAATGAAGGAGGTACTTAAGATCTTAATCTTAATTATGTTAATCACTTCCCCAAGTTCTCCCGACCTATGTGTGCCACCATAGCTGTGCAGGTGCACGGAGATTTCGCCTCTACACCACCCCACTTTGGTACGAAAAGGATACTTCCACTCCACAATGCTGATGCAGGCCCGGCGAATGGGGTTCTTGAGAGTGAGGCAGAGCAGGGCGCGGGGCGGGCGCGTGGCGGCCGTGCTGCCCTGCTTTTTCTGCTTGCTGTAGTGCTGCCGCTTGCGCTGGGTGGAGCTGGCGGTGGAGATGGGGGCACTAGTGCCCATGAGCTTGGCCTGGCGCGCGGCATCGATGGCAGCCTGCCAGGTGAGGGCCGCCCCGGCAGAGGGGATGTGCTCCGGAGCCAGGCCCACCACCCCATGGTCGTTCAGACCACCAGGAGCCGGGAGGGACGGGCTCGAGTAGTTGGAGCCTGAGGAGAGAAGACAGAAGCATCACAGAACTGTTGTGGGTTTTACAGTACATGGGTTTCCAAGAACTCAGCCCTGACTCCCAAGTCCTTGTACAACGGCTAACAATCACAGCTTCGAAGCAATTGAGAAAAAAAAACAGCAGTTTAAAAGGAATGAAAACCAAAATAAGATCTCCAAGTGGCCCTGGATTGCATCATGAGTACCCTTCCAGGAGACTCTGCTACTTACTCAGACCAATTTCTCTCAGTGGTAACAGCACATAATGTATGGAGGCTGAAGGATAAGCAACAAAAATACAATGTTTTCTACTTGGTATCCATTTGAGCTTTAGCCTCCCAAAACACCATACTAAAACAGTCTGCATTGGAAAAATGATCACACATTCCACAAGTGTCAGAACTGAAAATAATGCAGCAGAAACACAATCATCATATTAAAGTGTGAACAAGGAGAAGGCTGGAAACCAGATGACTTTTAGGAAGATGAGAAAGGTTGAGCATTTGTTTTCATGCTGGCTTATACAGTATGTAGCTTCTCAAAGAGTAACAGTCAGAGCTTATGGCAACAAACTCAACGCAGTCTTGGTCTACTATGCAATCTCTTAATCCATTTCCTTAAAGTGAGATTAATTTATTTTCTTGTCCAGAGACAGGTGTTGCCAGTTTCGCCTTTAGAATCTCTGAAGCATTTCTTAAAAAGTATTGCATACAAGTAAAAAGGAAACCACAACTTAAAAATAATAAATCTTGGTTCTCCTGACAAAAAACTAATTCAATTCATTTTACCGTGTGGATGAAATAAAATGTAAAATTGATACCACAGTTAAACTATAAAATGCCATATGGATTTCTTCAAAGTAGGTCACTCCCTTCTGATAAACCAGATGTTCCTACATAGTACTTCTTTTTAAAAATATCTGTTTACAATATTTAGATAGATTAAATGCTGTTTATGAATACATTTCAGATTCAAATTTAATTGAAAGATGACGAAAAACACTTATATGACTTCTCAAAAAGAACTCTGCACAATACACAGGCATGCTGGTGGAAAATAACCGTAATCTAAATTTTAGATGCCCAATATTAAAGCCCTGTAGTTTAAATATTTTAAAAAACCCTGTGTTTGTTTAACATGCAACTAAATTGGACAAAACACTACAGGCCTAATATTTGTTAGATGCCTGCCAAACCCTGCTGTTGATGTACTTATATGGTGGAATAACCTTTTGCTTCCATGACATGTCTTCAGAAAGCTGCTTCAAATCAAACTACAAAGAAAGAATAAAAGCAAAGCTATCGCTTCAGTCACCACCCTGTTCACTCCAGTGCACTTTTAAATGACAAACATTATCACAACCTTGCATTCAGATAGTCAGACACTGCTTGGGCCAGAGGAGAACCTGATTTGGCAGTTTGTCTGGAAGCAACTGCCTTGTCAACAGTGTAGCAAACTGCTCGTTATTATTGTCTAGGGTGTCTTGAATCTGACTTTATATATATTTCTACTTTAATCTTGCAAAGCAATGAGAGAGAAACCATGGATTATACAGTGCTGTAGTTGCTTGACAAAAAGATATGTCTAGACAGTCGTAACCACGATGAGTTACAGGATATTGGAGAATAGTCACAGCCACACAACATTTGATGTTTCAGCCATTGCTGGTTCTCCCTAGTTAGGTGGGATAGATACCGCACAATGGAACCAATATTCAGGACATGAAACTTGCTGGCATTTCCCAAAACAACCTGACATTTTACCTAATTAGGTATTGATCGACCAACTTGATGGATAGGTATTGGCTCGGGGGAATTTGACCTGACATCCTGTAGTTTCTTATTATATTGCTCTTATTATATTGAGGAGAACAGAATGTAATTCTGAAGAAATGAAACAAAAACTGAAATATACAATGGTGTATCTTTCCATTTGTAATTAGACTAAACATGTTTATACTGTATATAGAGCTGCATGTCTGGATTGTTTTGTCTACATTCAGCAATTTTGTATTTGCAAAACAAAACACACCACACCAGTTAATTCATTTACAGCAGCTGGATAGTGTGAACACAGTTAAACATTTCTTGCAAGTAAATGGCACTTTTTCATATATATCCACACTGAAATATACCACTTTAAAATTTGTTCTGTTTTGCTTATTAACCTACAGTATTATGCTGAATAACAGATTTGTTTATTCAGACATTGTGAAACATTTGTCCTCTTAATTCTTCCGTTCAACAGATATTCTGAATGCCAGTCACTTTGATAGAACACAGCAGTAACATAAATGAATAATGGTGCATTAATTGCAGTTGTTTGCATTGGTGAAACAAAGACATGTGCACCAGTAATTGTTGATTTATTATGGCATTCACATTGACTTTGTTCCGTAGCACTGCACAATCACAAAAAGGCCGGCTCTGCTGTAGCTATACAGTCATTTGTAAAAGTGGGAAATCTCATGTGCATTCACACAATTTTGGAGAGGGTGGGTCACGAGAGATGAGATTTTGGGTCTCCCATGTTCCAAAGATATACTGGTAGATTAACTGGTGTGAGAGTGTGCGACTATGTAGGTGTGTGTGTCATACGATGGATGGTGTCCCACCCAGGGCATATCCTGCCTCGTACTTCTTGCTTGCTGGGATAGGTTCCAGCTAACAGGTTGCAGGTTCATCTAACATCTTCCAAACAACCCTAAACCCTTTGTGTCTCCTGATATCTGTACTATATGCGTCCCCTCTTATCTTTCATTTGTGTTCTGGGGTTCTTGTTTCATGTTGGTCCTGATGAGGTGTACTGGGGTGACCATTTGCCACTGACTCTTCAGGATTTTACAGTGTATACTCATAGTGTGTTTTGCTTGAGACTAAAGATATTCAGTTCTTATAACCAGTCGATGTAATGCATTCTTGAGAATAATGAATTTAGGTTTTGTTCCTGGATTTCGGCAAGACAGTGAGATCACACCCCTTTCCATCCAGTTTCTCATCTATTAGCCCAGTACAGGTGCTCTGGCCTGATTGGTATTTGTTGTTGCCTGACATGAGAAAGCAAAGTTTTGTGTGAAAAAAAAAAATATTGCATTCCTCTTTTTCATTGTTATACTTTTGCTTGGCTCGACTTTAAAGTTCTATAATAATTTTCAAAACAAAACTGGCAAATGTTTGCATTGGACCAAACAGTTTGCCAATCAGTACGTTCGTCACTAAGACTGAAATAACACATGCTGCCAAAAAGAATAGAATATGCACAGCCCTTGCAAAAAATGTTGCGTTTTTATGTAGAGTATTTGGTAATGTGTGTTTTAACACAGTGGTTCTTTCTTTGAAAACAATAGCAACATGAATTAATAATTTTACTCACAATGCTACTGCAAAATAGTGTTAGAAATAATTTCTGGAAGGCAACATTGTTTTTTTTCTATCCACTGTTTACCTAATATTTATTCTAAATCATTTGACTTTTTGCACAACTGCAACACTTCTCTCCATGCTTTAAATTATTTTAAGGGTACTTTATCCCTGTAAATGTTCTGTAAAATATAAGGTAAAATAACCTTTTTAAACAGGGGTCTCAAACTCAATTCTTGGAGGGTCTTATGTTTTGTTCCAACAAGGGGAGTCAATTAAACAATTAACTGAATTATTTTCTAAATTAGACACATTTATGTTTTTTCTTAAGGTATTTTACACTTAATTAAACAAGACATCCACTTCATTAAAGATATAGTTACATAAATCGCCTCAGAGCCTGGTTATAACTATTACAACTACGCAGCTAATTAAATAATTAGAACAACTGTTTAACTGAGAGCTGGGTGTAACAAAAGCCAGAAGACACTAGGCCCTCCAGGAATTGAGTCTGAGACCCCAGTTTTGATACATCATAAGTAGATCTGGTTCCACTAAATAATTAGATTAACTGAGAGTTTACACTAGAAAAAAATCATCTGTTCCACAAGGACTGGGTTTGACCCCTTTACTTTACAGGATGTACTAAAAAATATCTTCTTTAAGAGTTTTTTGTTAATTATCCCCTTTGCTCAGGGGTTCACAGCTCTAGTCCTGGAGGTCCAGAAGGATACTGGTTTTCCTTCCATGTGAGCACTTAATTACCCAACTGGATTCATTTGCTTAGACAAGTTGAATCCTTTGCTTTTTCTTAGGAGTCTGAAGATTTGAAGAGACCTAATGTATAAAACCTGCTGAGGACAGGAATTGGGCACCCTTGCCTTATATATTAAAAGCCCACGCTCAAGGATAAGGACAGGATCTGTGCTCAGAGATTTATTTGCTCTAATCCAGACTGTTCCTTCTGACAACAAAGTGTTCAAATAACAGCGGTACAGTGGAAGGGGACTGGTTGACTGTTCAGGTGCCTGTTTAGGACATCCTCAGTGACAGCTAGCAGTCCACCAGCACCCGACAAAGATCCAGCTTTGTTTCTATCTTGCAATGCAAGAAAGAGGGATTGCTGCACAACCTACACTTTGGTGTTCTAGGATTCCCAATCCTGATCCGGGATGGCCTGTATGTCTACAGGTTTCCGGGCCAGCTGGGCACATAAACACCCAAATCAGCTTATTATTGACTCAGCTGCACTATTTTTACAGCTTTTCCTGTGTCTGATTTTAAAGAGATCTTGAAAACCTGCAGACACATCAGTCTTCCGAAACTGATGAGGATGTGTGGTATGTGTGCTATCATAGTCTGTTCCTGGTTGGAAGGATGTTTGTTATTTTTGTAATTACCTTGGTGTGTATCAAAGTGGGGAAACCAGTTATCTATTTTATTTAACAATAGCACCAAAGGGGCCTCCAGTCATTTAAATACAGATAAAAACAAAACTGAATGTTAAGCAAAATCTTTTTTTTTTATCAAAGGGGCCTTTCAACTGCTTCTACATACAGCTTAAGTAGTAACATCAGAAAGATCACTATCATAAAAATATAGGACACAGACTCTATTAAAGTAGGTTTCTCCTTCAGATTATA